ACTCAAATGTTAAGAACTGATCAAGAATGAAAGCCATACTAGAACATAAAAGATGTGAAAATAAAAACAAAAAACTATGTCCCAAGCCCAGTCTTGCCTGACAGAGATCACAATGTGTCCTACTGAGTCAGATAAGCAACAGCACCATGAGCTCACTTCCAGCAAGCTCAGCCCTTGTCCTGGTCCCCAAACCCAATCCCTTGCCAAATCCTGTGGCTTCCTCCTTCACTCCTTAGTAACTGCCCTTCCACTCCACCTCCACAGTGTCCTCCACAGAGCCTCAAGCTGTCCCCCTGGGTAGCGTACTGTGGCATCACAGCTCACAGCAACCTCCAGCTCCTGGGCTCAAGTGATTCTCCTGCCTCTGCCTCCCAAGTAGCTGGGACTACAGGCACCCACCACAATGCCCCACTATTTTTTGGTTGCAGTCGTCATTGTTTGGTGGGCCTGGGTTGGATTTGAACCCGCCAGCTCAGGTGTATGTGGCTGGCACCTTAGCCACTTGAGTCACAGGCGCTGAGCCTGGGAAATAAATTTTGAAGAGCTTTGTACTTCTTTGACTATTCTGCATCCCTTGCATTTTCCATATAAATTTTAGAATCAGCTTGTCAAATTCTGCATTTATAAAAAAAGGCAGATGAAATTTTGTTAGGGACTACATTGAATCTAGTATCAACTAGAGAAGTTGAGGAGGTGTTGTTTTCTTGTAATTGTCCTTCAGTCTAAGGACAAGTAATGTCTTTCCAGTTATTTAAGAGTTTTTTAAATTTTCAGTGTTTTCTAGTTTTCAGTGTCTAAAGTCTTATACATTTGTTAATTTTATTCCTAAGGATTTTACTGTTTTTGATGCTATTATAAATTGAATCATCTTCTTAATTTTCAGATTCCTCATTGCTAGTGTAGAAAAATACAATTTTTACACATTCCTCTGGTATCCTACAAACATAATGAACTCACTTCTAGTTCTGCTTTTTAGTGGATTCCTGTGGATTTTCTATAAACCAGATGATATAATTTAGAAATCATTTCACTTCTTCCTTTTATTTCTTTTTCTTGCCTACCTGCCCTGGCTAGGACCTCTAGTACAATGTTGAATAAGAAAAAATCTCCTTATCATCTTACTGATTTTAGGAAGAAAGCAGTCTGTCACCACTAAGTCAGGGTTAGGATTAGGGTCAGGGTTAGTTGTAGAGTTTCCATATATGTCCCTTGCCTTTATCAGGTTGAAATTCCCTCCTATTCCTAGTCTGTTGAACATTTTTATAACTACAAAGGGGGTTGGAGTTTATCAAATGCTTCTCCTGCATCTACTGAGATGATCATATGTCTTTTGTCCTTTTTTCCATAACATACTCCATTACAGTGATTGATTTTCATGTGTTAAACCAAGCTTGCATTCCTCAGATAAGTCCCACTTTGTGGTGTATAATCCATTTTATATGCGGTAGTATGTATCAGTATTTCATGTTTTAGAGCTAAAAAAACATGGATATAAACATGCCACATTGCTGGATTCAATTTGCTTGCATTTCATTGAGGATTTTTGGATTTGTACGCATGAGATGTTGGTCTTTAGTTTTCTTGGGATGTCTTGGTCTGGTTTTAGTATTACGATAATACCAGCCTCAAAAGAAAATGTGTTGGGAAATGTTTTCTCTTCTAGTATTTCTTTGGAAGAGTTTGTCAAGGATTGCTGTTAATTCTTCTTTAAGCATTTGGCAGAATTCTACTGTGAAGTCATCTGAGCTTGCTGGAAGTATTTTGACTACTAACTCAATCTTTTCACTTGCACTAAGACTATTCCGATTTTTTTAATATCTTCTTGAGTCAGTTTTATTTGTGTCTTTGTAGGAATTTGTGTATTTCACTGAGGTTTTTATTGGCATACAACTGTTTATAGACTTTATAACCCTTTTTATTTTTGTAAGGCTGGTAGTGATGCTCCCTCTAAATGAATGAAGCAGCTGTTAAATGGCCTGATATTATAGAATCTTGAAATTAATAAGACCCAAATTAAAGATATACTTGAAAATTAGAATTCTGAGTTTTTGAAAATTCTAAGTTGCAGGATATACAAGATAGATATATTCTAACTATGACCTCTGGAAGGAAAAAGGTGCAAAGATAGACTCGATACTTTTCTAATTAAAATTCAAAGTCACTTCAACTGAAATCAGTTTCAGGATGAACACACACATTGCAAGCGTACCATTTAGTAGAAAATCAATACCTTAAACCAACTACATTCACATGAACATACATATATGTTATAATAAACCCCAAAAAAACAAATTCCTAAGGAGGCAATACTATAAAAGAATCGTGCAATAAATCCTCTCAAATCAATCTTCTGAACAGAGACAAATATAGTCTACATATTAATAATAGACTAATCAGACTCATAATAGACTAATAAAGTCCATAGTAATCAAAATACTTCCAGCAGGCTCAGCCCTCATATGTTTCTTGAGTCCAGAACCATGAGTTTTCTGTGTACTATGCTTTCTTAAATATTAGCACACCTGCATATCTAACAGCAGCCATGTAAATCCTCATAGACTCCATGACCAAAAATCAACTTCCTTGAAAGTTCTTTATTGTTTTATCTTTCATAAGAGTTGTAAATATATTATTACATGTGATCTCTTGTAAATTTGTGAAAAGCCATCTTACAAGAAAAACTGTACGTTTTCATACTCTATTCTTGTAATGAAACTACTCAGAAAGAAGATTTTTTCAAAGGACTTAGGGTAATTGTTATGCTGACTTTCTGAAACAAAATTCAACTACAGATTTTCAAATTACACATACGAAAGATGACAAGCTTTCAAGGCACAGTCATACCACTTTGATATATTGGGAGGAAAACTATGCTTACCTTACCACCATATACTGACTGGCACCATCTTTTACAGAATACTTCCACCTTCTCTAATTTTTTTTAGTCCATAAAGTAAGGCAGATGGTATCATCTTTATCATCCCATTTACAGAGGAGAGAAACCAAATGAAACTTCCTACTAGTGAAAAGTCTGTGCAAGGTCACACAGCTTGTAAGTGGTAGAGCAGGGACCAGCTGGGGTTTACCCAACACAATCCCAATCACATACCTTTTTCGTTTACAGGAGCCCTTTCCCACTTACAAAAAATGAGAGCAAAAACTTAGAATGCAACATGTGTCAGCAGAAAAAGGAAATTTCCACTAACTCTCCTTAAACTTTTTCATTGAAAGCACATTTCTTTTGAATGTCTATGAATCACTCTCATCTTTATAAGCAACAACTTGACTAAAAGCATGTTTTGTTTTGGGTTTTTTTTGCAGTTTTTGGCCAGGGCTGGGTTTGAACCCGCCACCTCCAGCATATGGGGCTGGCGCCCTACCCCTTTGAGCCACAGGTGCTGCCCTAAAAGCATGTTTTTAATTATTTATTTCTTTTTTGTATGGGTTTTCATGGACTTTTAAAAATTTTTTTATTAAATCATAGCTGTGTACATTAATGCAATTATGGAGTACAATGTGCTAGTTTTTTAGCATCCTGCAACCTACCTATAGGCTTCCCAGACATGTAAACAACCCTGAAAACTTGACTTTAGAATGAAAGCTACATGACTCTTAAACTATAAACCCTGAGAAACCCCCTTTAAGGGTTTTGATGCCAAATTAGGGCTTATGTCACTGAATATTCTTCTACAAAATACTGATTGAAGGGGTGGCACCGGTGGCTCAGTGGGTAGGGTGCTGGCCCCATATACCAAGGGTGGCGGGTTCAAACCCAGCCCCAGCCAAACTGCAACAAAAAACTAGCCAGGCATTTTAGCGGGTGCCTGTAGTACCAGCTAGTTGGGAGACTGAGGCAAGAGAATCGTCTAAGCCCAGGAGTTGGAGGTTGCTGTGAGCTGTGTGATGCCACAGACTCTACCCAGGGCGATAACGTGAGACTCTATCTCTAAAAAAAAAAAAAAAAAATACTGATTAAAAACATCATTCTAGCTTTATCAGTGATCAGAGATAATTTACACCAATGACCACTTGACTGTTTATTTTCTACACAGATAAGAGAGATGGAACATCTGTCCACAGAACCATACTGGTGCTCAGTCACAGCACAAAGCATTAAATCAAACTCACTCATGATACCTGAACACCGTAGTATTCACCTCGCAAAGGACAAAGTTCTCTTCAGTCCTCTCATAAAGGAAGTGTCTGTACTTAGGACTCCTTATCTTCACTTTCTCCTTGGAGAAGCCAGTATTTACTTAATCTAAAAAGTCTGAAAGAGTCCATGTGACTTCAGAGACAGCATTCCTACATGGACCCACACCCCTGGGTTGAAGAGAATTACTGTCATAAACCCACCTCCTGCTCAGTGACCGATGGACTTCAGTCCGATCTGCTATTGTCCTGCTGGGCTTTTATAACGATGGGTGAGGACTGGGTAAAAGATCTGAATACTTCTCTCCCCGAGGAAGCTCTGGGGAGAAAGGCAGCTGGCTGAAAGTCATTGCTGCTACTCCACCATCTAAGCCAGTGAGAGGAAGAATGAGAAATAAACTGCGCTGTGCCCAGTGATTTCCTGGGAGGCTCTGAGGAAAGGGAAGAAGAGTTGCCATCCCAGTGCCCAGACCTTTGCTGTGTTAACAACTTTTTCTCAATTCTGTCCGACCATTTGCAAAAAAACAGGATCTTCTCCCATCAGCCTGCTACCAACAAGACTCAAATGAATTTCTAGATGTACGTGGCACGTGCAGGGCTGAGTGTGGTGTGCAACTGGCTGTGGCTGAAGAGTGGAACGTGGCGTGGAGGGGTCACCCCTGGCCCGCCGGCCTCCAAACTTAAATCACTGATTGTAAGCAAGGGTCTCTCCCCGACCATACCCCGCTCTGACAACTCTTTAGAACTGCAGGTGCATTCAGGTATCTTGTGGACATCAAATCCCACAACTTCATCCCAAAGCTTCATTCCAAGAGAAGGTGCACAAAGAGAATAAGTCTGCATCTTACCTTTTGGCTTCTTCTAAGTGGCACAAATATTCATAAGCGATGTTCTGCCGCCTCCTCTCATCCATCTCCTCTGCAGACAGCCTTTCATCGTCCACGATAGCTAGAAATAGAGGATAACGACACATGACTTCTAAAGGCAGTCTTCATCATCTAAACACCTGAGACAGTCAACTAGAAAAAAACTCATACAAAGCTCAGCGTTGAAAGTTCAAAGACTGACATACTTTTGAAACATCAAGCATAGACAAAGATTTGTCTTTGGATTCAACAATACTATGTCAATTCTAACAAAAAAGTAATACTGAACGATGAGATGAAATTATCAATAGAATGGCTCGGCGCCTATAGCTCAACCGGCTAAGGTGCCAGCCACGTACACCTAAGGTGGCGGGTTCGAATTCCCAGCCCGGACCCGCCAAACAACAATGATGGCTGCAACCAAAAAATAGCCGGGCGTTGTGGCGGGCACCTATGGTCCCAGCTACTTGGGAGGCGGAGGCAGGAGACTCGCTTGAGCCCAGGAGTTGGAGGTTGCTGTGAGCTGTAATGCCATGGCACTCTGCCCAGGGGGACAGCTTGAGGCTCTGTCTCAAAAAAAAAAAAAAAAGAAATTATCAATAGAATAAGAATAGCAATTGAATTTCATGGGCATGGTGCCATAGGGTCTGGACAGCCTCAACTCCATTAGAGCATTTTCTAATAATTAGCAATAACTTCAGTCTACCAGACTGCAGAAGTGGTCTAGTGGCTAGACCTGACGGCAATGCCACCAAGTAGCATCCCATAAATGCTGGTATTACACAAAACATGTACAAGTACTCATCACCATTTCCCAGTCCTTGAGGGAATTAAGGCTTTTCATGCAACCCCACAGACCCATCAATCCTATTTTAGGGATGCCAAAGTTCTAAAAAATTTCTCCTTTACCATATCTTAGCCTTTATAATGCTACGCTTTCTGACCGACAGGTATCCAAAAGGAAAAAGCAATAAAGACAGAAAGTGCTCAGTTTGAACCCACACTCTCTATTTCAAATCAAGCCTACTTTAGCCGCTTTAAGACTCCAGCCTTGCTCTTCTGTAGAGAACACTGTCTCACCATTTCCTGACTGCACTTCCTCTGCCCGCAGCCTCAACAGCGTCCAGGCAACCACAGTAACTGTCATATCAGCCAACTCTTTATTAGTTACATGACAAAGCTCCTTTCTCATTAAAAAAAAAAAAAGAGACTCCCTTTCCCTCATTAATCCTCATGGCTTTAATCTTGACAGCCATGAAACTAACTACTCATCTAATAAAGACAATATGTGTGTGTGTGTGTGTGTGTGTGTGTACACCCGTGCATGTAACAGGGACGTGGCCACGCAGACAGCACTGTCAGTGTTTGCTTTTTGGTTTCCAAGCTGCCAGCGCTAGTCAGTCATCTCATAAATGGGACTGTTGGTCACAAGCACAAGAAATAAGGATGTGAAGGTCACCGGTCCACCTCTAAAGAAAGCCGTGCTAATCCCGTACCCTACTGAGGAGCCAAAAACCTGCATTACGGTGGCAGGCAAAAGGAATTAAGGCCACATCTTGAATTCTTACTGAAGCAAGTACAATGCTAACTACTTAAGATCTAAAAGGAACATGAGCCCTCAACTCTAAAGAGAAGGGAGATGAAACTCACATCAATATAAAATATGGCAAACTACACTAAGCACAGGAACACACACGAGATGCTTGTTTATCATGCACTTTGCAACCTCTCATCTCAGCCTCATGACTCTCTCTGAGGTGGGTAATTTTCTTTGGAGACAGTCTCATTTTGTCACCCTCAGTAGAATGCCATGGCGTCATAGCTCACAGCAACCTCAAACTCTTGGGCTTAAGCCATTCTCTTGCCTCAGCCGCCTCAGCCTCCCAGAGTGCTAGGATTACAGGCGGGAGCCACCCTGCCCGGCCCTTGAGGTGGGTTAATTCACCCCACAAAAAGGCTGAGAGGTCATTCGCCTGAGGGAAGAACAGAAACATTAGGGTCAAAATTATTTGGAGAAAACATGAGAAGTGTGGAAAAACTTTGGGCAATGTCTCTGTTTATGGATGAGGAAGAAATGGAACCAGCAGATGAGGAGGAGGAAGAAGAGAAGTGAGAGATGGAGGAATACCAGGACGGGGCCATCTATAAAAAAGTGGTTCCTGAAGGGCTGAGTTCCTGCCCATTTCCCTGTGCTCCCACCTCCCCATTTTTGATTGTGGCTCCATTCCTTAAACAGGGAGACCTCACCCTGACTGATGATACCAAGAGAGGTCAACAAAGATTGGTATTTGTCAAAAGTATCTATCATTTTTATTTTTTTGAGACAGAGCCTCAAGCTGTCACCCTGGATAGAGTGCTGTGGCATCACAGCTCACAGCAACCTCCAACTCCTGGGCTCAAGTGAGTCTCTTGCCTCCGCCTCCCAAGTAGCTGGGACTACAGGCACTCACCACAAGGCCCGGCTATTTTTTGGTTGCAGCCATCATATTGTTGTTTGGTGGGCCTGGGCTGGATTTGAACCCGCCAGCTCAGGTGTATGTGGCTGGCGCCTTAGCTGCTTGAGCCACAAGTGCCAAGTCAAAAGTGTCCTTTTTTTTTTTTTTAAATAAACTCAATCCAATCTGAACTGCAAAAGAGCTCTCATGTTTCAGAAAAGCACAGACAATCTCAAGCAATCTTGCTCTGCACGTCACTGAGAGAGTCCATGACTTCCCCATCTGTCCCCCGAGACCTTGTGACAGGTCTGCTGACTCACCCAGCACTCTCCACCAACCATCCTCCGCCCACCCCACCCACCCCCACCAGCACTAGAAGCATCTTCCTAACACAGGGTCCTACCGATGTCATTCCCATTCTCAAAACCTCTAATGTCTCCCCATTTCCTACAAAACAGAGTGCTAGAACACTGTGCCTCCTGCCCTGCCCGACACCTGCACTGCAGACACCAGGCAGCGTGCCCCAGGACCACACCGCTCCCTCGGACACTCGGTGCCTCTGCTCCCCACTTCTGTCTGGAAAGCCATTCTCCCACCTTCTACGTTTGAGGCCTTTGACATCTTTGAGCAAACTTCCATGGATCCCTGGGTCTGGGTCTGAATCTATCCATTCCCCTCAGCCTTCAAGTTCCCTACAACACTCATCAGGAAAACCCCTCTGGGTTTGGTAAGTTCCCACCTAAGGGGAACAAGATAGAAGCACAGGGCACACTACTGGGTGAGGGGCTCAGCTTCGACTTTGTCTTCAGCTTACAAACACAAACAATGTAACCTGATCACATGTGCCCTCCTATTAACCCAAAATAAAAATAAAACCCCCCTTCCATAAAGCAGTCTGCTTCCCTCTCCAAATTGGGGGTTTGGACAGAGTGGTTTTCACACCTCCCGTCTGCCAGGGCTCCCTGCACACAGGTTGCATTCAACATGCAGAAGGACCTTCAAGGGAATCCTGGGAGTTCAACATTACCTCAAAATGAAGAAACTCTGAGAATCAGGATTTTCTTGTCTGTGTTACCTTAGGAGACCTGGCACACCCGCAGCCTGTCACCTAACCTTCATCTCCACTGTTCTGAACAGCTTACCCCCAAGATGCCCCCATGATTTCGTTTCTCATTTTAATTTCAGTTTAAAGACTGGTTCGCAGGATATTTCATTTTATGTACTTTCAGAACACACTAAAGCTTGAAACCAAAATAAAACTCTTGGTGGGAGCCCACAGGCTCATTGTGCCACCCCCACCCCCCCATAAAGGTGGACACTGGGGTCCCACTCAGAAGGTGGTGCTCTTCCTGGTGTCCTTCTGGCTACCGTACCCTTCCAGCCTCAGAAGACCACACTGGGGAAGAGGCAGAGGTGGGGGACGGGGCAGAGGCTGGGGAGGGGACAGTGACTGGCGAGGGGGGAGAGCTCCTCAGCACCTGGCCCCTTGGTCTCTGCCCCCAAATGTAGCCAGAAACCATCCAGAACTCTACCAGCCCAAGGGAGTCACTGAGAAGCTCCCTAACTCTGCTGTTACCCTGCCCAAATAAAAGGTTTTACTTAAAGTGTGAATTAAAACACTGTACTCACAAAGTTGTAAATTACAGTTGCAACATATTGACCTGGGCTAATGAGATCCTATCTATCTTCAAGGCTCAATCCAAGGACCCTCCTCTTCCTAAAGTCTTCCTGATGTTTCCACCTCAAAACTCCCTCTCTCTCCTAGCAGCTCCTACACTGCCATGGCTAACAGCAAACTTCTAGAGACATGTGTCCTGATGGTGCCCAGCACACTCCCCTGTACAGACTGTTTGTTTCATTAAAGTATTTGAACAGCTTGGGTGCAGTGGCTCACACCTGTAATCCTAGCACTCTGGGAGGCTGAGGCAGGTGGATTGCTTGAGCTTAGGAGTTTGAGACCAGCCTGAATAAGTGTGAGACGCCATCTCTATTAAAAAGCCATCTCTATTAAAAACTAGCCGGGCATTGTGGTGAGTGCCTATTGTCCCAGCTAATCAGGAAGCTGAGACAAGAGGAACACTTGGGCTCAGGAGTTTGAGGTTGCTGTGAGCTATGACACCATGGCACTCTACCAATGGTAAGAGAGACTGTCTCAAAAAATAAATAAATAAAATATTTAACCAAATAAAATCTCTTATCAGAAAAGGCTAGTAAAAGGACTCTAAAATATCTATGTGGGGTCATTTTATTTGTAATTTTATTTCTCTATGTGGGGTCATTTCATTGATTACACTAAATAAAATAATAGTGTGGTTATTAATGGAATGAATATTGTACCAGTTTCACAGACTTCACTCAACTAATGTTCAAGTCCTAGGTTTTTTTTTTGTGCCAGGCATGAGTCGCAGCACCAGGGGGAGGACAGAGAACAAAATGAACATAAAATATTTGCCCTTATGGGGCTTCCTCATATACGTCCCTTCTGCCTTTCCACACCCCTGGCCCAAACACCTCAGGCTCACCTTCCTTTGATCAGTGGTAGAAAACACCTTCCATGACCTACTGTCAAAGGATAAGTCAAGGTCAGGAGCGTGAGAAAGTCTTAGTAGCAAAAGCAGATCCTTCTGGGCCACAGAGGCTGCCTGCA